TTTAAATTTTTTTGATGTTATTGCATCACTTTACGAAGTGGTATATACGTAATTGCATCAGTTTTAGTACCTATTTAATTAATTTCAATCATGACAGCAAAAGATAAGGATGCTTGTTTCTTTTAAACTATTTGATGAAAACGTTACATAAAATTGGGGTTGCATAATCATCCGAAATTATTATTATATTTTTGACTGGAAATTACAGGATTTATGCAATTTTAGTTTAATTAATATTGTATAAAATTGACCGCTCGTATAAGTTTGCTTAAAACATGCAACTCAAAAAACCCCATAATGGCAGCTCAAGAAGTAGATCACGCGTGTCCTGATCTTCTTATATAGACCTTGTAACAGTCGAAAGCGCGGCCATTTTTGAACCATACGTAACATTAACCCTTAATTCTTTTACTACGATTACTAAAATTGAAGTTCATAATTTAATAATTATTATGAGTGACTTTACTTACGTATTATCAATATTAGAAGTTGCTTCATCCATTACAAGAATTTTATTTTGACGAAGAATTGCTCTGGCTAAACAGATTAATTGCCTTTGTCCAATGCTAAAATTTCGTCCTCCTTCTGATAGATGTGCATCCAATCCTCCAGGCAATTTTCTTATTACATCTTTTAATTCCACCTTTGATTAAAATACTTCGTTCAGTGAAAACATTGAAATAAAGATTGTTTAACAAACGAATTTAAACATTTAATTATCCTAACCTCTTCAATGGCTTGCCACAATATGTCTTCGGAATACTCATTAAAAGGATCGATGTTTCTGCGAAGAGGACCAGTAAATAGTATTGGATCCTGAAAACAAATGGCGTATTTAAAAATCTCTATTTATGGATTCATGGTATAAAATTTAATCCATGATTTCAAATAAACCCTGAACAGATCGCAATTTTTTAAATTTATTACTTTAGTCATCATTCTGCAAAATGATTGTGATTATAGTGATATAACTAAATGTAGGCCTATGTATTCGGAATACAGGGTGTTAATGTAAAAGGATGTTCACTTTTTCACGAACAACACTATCATGCCTGATGTTTTAATATGATTACATAAAAACAATTTTTTAATGTATATATTGTAGCTGTTCAATATTGTGACACTCCATAATCAAATACACTACGAAAATATCGAGTAATCCAGAATTCTCAAATAACAATGCAGCATGCCAGTATTTTGCGAATCAGTATTAGTTCTGAGACGTATCAATAATAAATTAATTATCTTAGTCAATAATGCATTCATAATCCTTTTTTATGCTTTTTATTTTAAATACAGTATTGTCCTTTCCTGTGCATCTCCAGACTGATAAAAGAAACCCAGGAAAAACTGGGAATCGTAATGTAGCATGAGCCGATAGAAATCATACAGCACTAACAGCAACTTTCAGAAAGTACCGTGTTTCCCCGAAAATAAGATCTAGCACAGGTTTTGCTAAATTGCGAAATATAAGACCTCCCCCTGATAGTAAGACCTAGCAAATTTTTTTTTACTCGTAACGGTCATCGAGAGATGGTTGAAAGTGGCCGTTGGCTTTTTGAAAGTACAGCCACTGATTGGACAGCAGATAATCACGCCACACGGCATGATTTGCATAAGACTATGGCTTGGGAATCACAGATTTGCATAACGTTACGGCTGGTGATCGTTAATTGGTCGGCCGGGAATCAGGTTCCATCACATTTGCATAGTGCTACGGTTCAGTAAGCACTAATTGGTCACCGAGCCCGATGTCGACGCTATGAAAAGGTTAAGTTGAAGCGAGAGTGAGAAGTTCACTCCAGCACGGGAACTTCGTTAGTTCAGTTCGACACGAGCGGATATAATTCACTCTCGTTTAAGTTAGACTTGGGAATTTTTTTGTTCAACAATAAATGTGAATTCTTCTTCATGGAAAAATAAGACATCCCCGGAAAATAAGACTTAGCGCATCTTTGAGGGCAAAAATTAATATAAGATACTGTCTTATTTTCGGGGAAACACGGTATATAGATGATAGTATCTTGAAACAATCTGAAATATCTGTTACTTGCATTTTCGATAATTTGGAACCACTCTAATTCTGTTAGTTCTAGAAAGAAATGCAACTATAAGTTGCTCTAGATAGTACAACACGTTTACAAAATCTTTTGATCTAATAAATACAGGGTGCCTCAAAAGTTTTCATACATACAAAGGTGAAATGTAACTTTATTTACAAAACATTAAAATGTCAGCATTAAAATTTGAGTTGGTGGATTGACAGAGTAAGGCAACGGAACTCGTGGGTAAGCTTCCAATGAGGTAACTTCTAGCAGGACTTCCAATGGGGAAACTTGATTCTGTTTACGTGGTAGACACGTGAAGAAAACTTAGAACAGTGCACGATGGCCAGCTATCAGTGTTCAATGGTTTTTTATTTATTTAGTCACTGGTGGGCTTGATTTGTGCCACTATATGGAAACTCTTGAAACACCCTGTATATTTGGTCATTCAAAAAATTGTGTTGTAATTTCAAAATTCAAAATAGTTTCACTGTTACCATTATTACTGGCTTTTGAGAATTGGTAATTATTAAAGTAATTCAATCAATTTTAGGTTTATAACTATTTACTTGAGGAATAATCGATATTTTACTACGTAGATCTCTCAGACCGATGTCTTGAGTAACAACTCCGTCAATGATAATGTTTCCGTTAGGTTCTGTCATACGAAATAACGCAGAAATGATAGAACTCTTTCCAGCTCCTGTTCTTCCAACAATTCCTATCTAAAATCAAGATTAAAAAATATAAGAAAAATCTTAATTTGGAAAATTTCAGATATTTTACCTTTTCTCCCGACTTGATACGAAATGATAAATTATTTAGTACAGTATTTTTGCAATTTGAATATTGTAAAGAAACATTCTTAAATTCAATATTTCCTTTCTGAGGCCAATCAGCAGGAGGTTGTATTTCGGGAGAACTTTCGTACGCTGCTTCCGGTTTTAAGTTACTATAATTCAGTATACGGGTAACAGAATTCGTCTAAAATTAAATACCAATACACAAAATTTATCGAAATATTAATATACATTATGTATTGTTGAATATAATATACAAACATACCATATAGTCAATTTCAGACGAATGCTTAATACTCCATTGAAAAAGTAAGAATACCATTAATCCGTAATTGACAACAAGACCAATTTTACTTCCTGCATCATCTATTATGTCACGAAAAAATTAAGTGTTGAGTTACATACAGAATAGAGAAAATTCAAAATATATCCACTTACCTTCATTCATCGAAACAGTCAAAACGACAAAAGAAATAAAAAGATTTAGAAGACAGAAGAAATGACTGTATGCGCAATTCCATCGATTTAAAGCCACGTAAATAAACCATGTTGCTGTGTGTTTATCTTGATATTTATTGAATGTTGACTTGAATTTATTTTCTGCATTAAGTGCTCTGATTGTTGTCAGTCCATATAGAGACACACTCAGATGAGAAAATACGGGACTTCTGCCTGCGAAAAAACTTTTTGTATAATTTATAATAATATAATTAAATGAAAGAAATCATCAACCCGTGTCGGGGCTCATTGCCTTTCATAAAAACAAGGAGCCTAGATGCATTTCAAAATATTATAACATGAAAAAGGTCATTTTATCATATGATTACTTTATGTAATTTTTTTTCTATTATAAAATATTATAATAGAAAATTATAATGGACTTGCATAGCGATATTAAATTAAAATATTTTACGATTTTTTTACATTTAAAATCATATAGACACTTCGATACATTTTGTGTTACATTAAAACTAAAAATAGCTATTTATTACTCTACAATCTATTAACATTATCGTAGCAGTAAACAACTACATAACGTAATAAACCTGAAAATGAACCTTTTCCATGTTATATAACATTAAAATATGTCTGTTGAATAAGTGACCCAACATATAATAATGTATTTTGTCTTTTAGTAGAAAAGATCATTAAAAATAATTTCTTAACCATAACAATATGTCCATCATATATTTAAAAGAAATAAATTGCTGTACATAAGAAATACATACATTTTCCTTCCAAATATTTTATGCTTTTCAATACTCGTGTATGGGTGGTCCATAAAAAATGAAATGAGTATAAAAAGAGAAATATTACTATGAGTAAATAAGGACAGATTATTGCTTCAATCACAAACATACCGATAATGACAAAATATACCTGAAATAAGAGAACTCATTTTAAATACAAGCTACATTTTTAATCTATTATTGTAATGAATATGTAAAAATCTATTTTCAAGAGAACTTAAATTAATTCAAGATAATAGAGTTATTGCTTATTGCATTTGAAAATAAATAAATAAATAAATTGGTATAATATTTCAGACTAGTAATTACATAAAGCGTTATTTTCATTACTAGTCCATATATTAGGACTATCAATTAGAGGGGCAAGCTATTCCTTTAGTTTTTACTGGTTATGTTATCCAGATATCTGCTTACTAAATAGACAGAGCATTTTACTTCGTAGAATTATAACTCTTCGTCCCCACAGACCGAAATAACTGGCCATTTTTATTACTTACATTTACTAAATGTATGAGAAATAAATAATTTTAATGTGGATAATATATTAGCATATAGAATAAGGATACAATAAAGCTAGTTAAGTTTCATCCTGACAATGTATACTTATACATGTGTCTTTCCTTATAACCATAATTGACAATCCCCACTTTTGCAGGAAGAAAATTATAAGTCTAAGTCTGTTTCTCTCCTGTTTTATTACATCAAATTGACTACGTGTCTCTGACGCTTCTCCATATTGAAAGTCAGTGCGAAAAAACATATATTTGAAATAGTTACATAAAAGTTGAAAATTTTCGATAGGATGAGAGGGAGGAGTTCAGCACAATTGCTGATATGTTGACAAAAGGAAATGACATGTATTTTAAATAGGTACAGGCCCGGACATGCTGTTACAGCAGAGGCAATTCAAGAGGTAAGTAACGAGGTGGGGATGAGGGATGTAAATCTGGTCCTTTTTTTGGGACTCGGATATCTTTTTCGTAGTTCATTGGAAAATTACCGAACTCTGGAAAACCATCAAGCAACTGTGTGTATTTATATTCCAAAAAACAACACCCAAAAGTGTTACAATACTTTTTTGTTATTAAGCGTTAAATGGCAAAAGTGGACACTCGTTTTTTGAATAAATCTTTTCTCTGAGTCAATAATATTTTCCAAAAAGTAATTTATGCCTATGCCAGGATTTCACTAAGCGTTTTCTTTAACGAAATCATCAAAATTTAACGTGGAATTTTTTTAAAAACCAGACACAAAAGTGAAGAAGTTGTGGAAGAAGCATGGGCGTAGTCCATGTTATTATCGTTGCTGAATTATCTTTATGAACAAAAATTATTTCCGTGAAGAAGAAACTGAATTATAAAAATATCAAACACGATTCAATAAGAATAATATTAATTACATTATATTTTATATATATACTAGCTGTTACCCGCGACTTCGTCAGCGGAGGTTTTGCAAGCAAACCCCATTTACATCCAATATTTCAATAACCATAGTAATTGTTATATAACACCTACCGCTGAAGAGAATTGCCGAAAATCAAACGAACTATTTTCAATTTGATCAATTTTCTGAAACGTTTACAATCGTTCTATAATCGAACCAATACGCAATAACAAATTCGAATTTAAAACAGTTCGAACATTTTTAAAATTGAAATATATAAAAATATTTAAACAATGTCTGAAATGTGATCAATTTAATACACCTAAGTACTCGATGAAGACTAAACGTAGTTGAAAACAAAAAATCGCATCTAAAATAGTACAGTAGAAGCCATTCTTCCGGTTAAGCTTAATCCTCTCCCTCTCCCCCCGCGGGAGAATTTAGAAAAATCCCTTCTTAGTGTCCATTCTCATGGCATACCCTACTAAAACGCATACAATACGAATACGAAATAACAAATTCGAATTTAAAACGGTTCGAACATTTTTAAAATCGAAATGGATAAAAATATTTATAACAATGTCTGAAATGTTATTAATTTAATACACCTAAGTACTCGATGAAAACTATATTCTCTCCCTCACCCCCCGCGGGGAAATTTCTAAAAATCCCTTCTTAGTGTACATTCTCATGGCATACCCTACTACAACGCAGATAAAAACAAAAAATCGCATCTAAAATAGCGCAGTAGAAGCCGTTCTTCCGGTTAAGCCTTAATGCTCTCCCTCACCCCCCGCGGGGAAATTTCAAAAAATCCCTTCTTAGTATGCATTCTCATGGCATACCCTACTACAACACAGATAAAAACAAAAAAATCGCATCTAAAATAGTACAGTGGAAGCCGTTTTTCCGGTTAAGACTTAATGCTCTTCCTCACCCCCCGCGGGGGACTTTCTAAAAATCTCTTCTTAGTGTGCATTGCCATGGCATTCACTACTAAAACGCAGATAAAAACAAAAAATCGCATCTAAAATAGCGCAGTAGAAGCCGTTTTTCCGGTTAAGACTTAATGCTCCCCCTCACCCCCCCGCGTTGGAATTTCGAAAAATCCTTTCTTAGTGTGCGTTTCCATGACGTACCCTAACTGTGTACCAAATTTCACCTCTTTAGGTTAAGCGGTTTGCTCTGGGCGATGATGAATCAGTGAATGAATGAGTGAGTCAGTCAGGACAAGCAATTTTATATATTTAGATTATTTATACTGTGGTAAAATTGGTTTTCTTATATATTGTTATTGTATTATGTCGCAGTTCCAAGTATCCATGAAATCAAGTCTACTTATCTGATTTAATTCTAATGAGCAATATTCTTGAAAAAAAAAATGTTTTTCTCAAATAAGTTTTAATGAATTTTTAAAAATTCATTTATTATCGAATTTCACGGTAATTCAAAAATGATGTTACTAATTTTATAATTTTTCTCACACCCTATTTTTCTGCTATCATATTTTGTCACTAATTTTTACACATATAAAGTTTTAATGTTTGTTTCAACGTACCATATACTTATATAAATGTCTGAAAAGTCACAATATACTACAATGCTAAGAAGAAGACTCACTGCAAATAGAAACTCTATGACAGTACAGTAGCAGATCGACAATTTTGTCTTCTGGAAATGTAACATTGAAATTTCCAGTTGTAAATTTTAAATGCTTATACTTTTAATATTTGTAACTCTGGTAACAATCTAAATTTCATCGCAATTTTGAAAATATTACTTTTTAAATGATAGACCAATTGAGGTGTCCCTATGTACATTAAACTTTTGGTATTACTAACTATAAGAGAGATTATCCCAATGTAATGTACAATACATATAAAACTATGAATAAACTATATATATATTATTGTAATGAAGCTATATATTTTACTATTATTACTGAAAACTAATTAAAACTTACTCTTATGACTTCATAAACTATACTAGTTAATGAATCATCAATGCTGTTAATGTCTGTTGAAAATCGATCTAGAATTTTCCCTGGAAATTAGTAAAAATTAAAAGACAAATTAAGAAATATTTTATATTTTAAAATATATTTATTTAAATTTTATAAATTCGTGTATTATGAGCATTTTTTTATTTTTTATAGCTTTAGTAATAAATAATATTTTACATATAAAATGCATAATTGCTTATAGAAAATTAATTCCTGAATTGTTGAATTCTTCAACGGAAACGATAATCATTTATTTTGACAAATTGTTTTTAAACTTTTTTGGTTAATACTAGAAATTATATTCATTTTAAGTTTCTAAATAGAAAAACTAAACTGATAATCCAGACTGCACTTAATACATTTTAATACATTATAAAAAATGTATTAAAATCATTTACGTTATACAATTATTAATAAAATAAATGAATACAGTCTATTATTTACATACCAACAGGATTGCTATCCAGGAACGATATTGGAGTACGAATAATACATCGAAACATATTATTGTGAAGCTTTATAGATGCTGCCATGAACATTTCGTAAAACAATGATGCAGAAACTAATGTCATAACAAATGTTGCACAAACTAATCCAAAAAAAATGTACATGTTGAATTCAAGAGTTTGAAAATTTATAGTTTTTGTAAAGTTCGTGTTACTTGTCTCGTATGAAAAATTTTCAAACTTTTCTCTGTTTTGATTGTAAATTTTTTCATCGTTTAACCTGAAAATTAAACATAAAAATGGATTTATTATTTTAATATATGTATAATCACTTATCACTCAGAATAAACTACAAGTGCATTATTTAATATAAATCTATATCAATAAATCTAATACAGTAGAGCGTCGTTTAGCCGAAAGTCTGTTATCCGAAACGTCGGTTATCCGAAAGAATTCCAGTTGGCAAATTTAAATTTTCGCTAGTGCTGTGGCGCTGCCATCTTTGGCTATGTCTTGGGCTACTCAAATATTTTACGTTTTTTGATACTAAATTAACTTCTAAAGTATAATTTTTTTAGTTTTTATATTAAATATATTTATTTTGTTTGTACAAAATAAAGAAATAATTTTTAACGATACAATAGCCACGATTATTATTTTAGAAAGTTTATGTTAAGCTTAACATCGACGAAAATTCAACGCAAAGCGACACCCAACGGAGAAAAATTTCAACACGGGATAGGTTAATATATTTTTTCGTACATAATCGGTTATCCGAAAAACAAGTTATTCGAACAGTTCCAGTTCCAATTGATTCAAATAAACGACGGTCTACTGTAATTACAAATAAAAAATTTTCTCGATATAACAGAACATTTTCAGTGAAGCGCTTTGAATGTGAGGTTTTATAAGATTTTTTTCAGAAATTTCACGCTGACATCAATACATAAATAAAGAAACAATACAAAGTAGTATCTAAGTTAAAGGAATATTGAAAGTCGTAGATGGCACTATGCAAATATTAAGAAGTTGAAAGTAATACGTGAAACTTTGTAATATGAAGAGTTAATTGGAGGATATTCATTACATTTCTAGTTACGAAATTACGAATTAAAACTAATAAAGTTCAAATTCATACCATTTAATCATCCAATAATCGCCGAAACTGTAAACGGCCTGAGTTGAGAAAAGCATTAAGATTATAAGAAACTTGAAGAATAAACCAGCTCCAGCATTAACATATGCTTTATAAACAGATAATCCTACAACTCCATGTCTTTTATCTTCTTGTAATTGCTTGTGATTGGTATTCTAGAAAAAATAATAGTTAAAACATTTATACTTTAATTGAAACATTACACTATATTCTTGAAAAGTAAGCATTTCATGCTGAAAAACGTAAATTTCCTATTTGTAATTGCCTTTAAAAAGAGTGTTAATGTTTTACATTGTTGTGTGTGAATTCTAATTGTTCTTGTATCAAATTAAACTAATTAACACTAAAAGTAAATTACTGTTAATTAAGAAATATACATCAAAAGATGTAATGTTTTGAAGTATTGATTTCCTTATAGAAAAATTATTTTATTTGGCTTTGCTCACTATACAACCTGATTATATTTTCGTGGAAAACTTGGGATATTATCTTCAAATTTAGATTTGAATTATTAATATTATTCAATGTAAATTTGTCATCTTGTGTTTGTTTTGCGGTGCCATTGAAAATTGTATTTCTATGATACAAATAGTTAGTCCATATATTCACAGATTAGGCATAATTCCTCAATAACGAAACAACTAAAAATAAAATTTTTGTAAAGTGAAATCGTATAAAGTGAAATACGCTTATTGTTCTGATTTACTGTATAATTACTTGATACACCCCATCGAAGATTAAAAAGTTATAATATAAAAAGTTTTGAAAAAAAATGTAAATACATTATAATTGTAGTTACAATGATATAATAAGTACCAGTATTTAACTCCTTAAGCGTCGAGTAATTTTTGATATTAATGTAATTAAACATAAAAAATACTTAAAACTGAAAAAAAAAACGAAAGAAATGCGTTAATTTTGAAGAAAAAGCTTCAAATTTTATTTTCCTTTGTCTCCGCTTTCTGTGAAATTTGACACTGACAAGTCATTGTTTACACAGCTGGATGACCTTGTCGTATATCCCGGGACATTCTCAAAAATGTCTCGGGAGGAGAAGGGTTTAAAGTAGGGTGAATACTAACTAGACTTATATTTTTAAACATTTTGAAGAAAAAGCTCCAAATTTTATTTTCCTTTGTCTTGCCTTTCTGTGAAATTTAACACCGATGAGTCATTGTTTACACAGCTGGATGACCTTGAACACAGCTGGAGTCAGATTTCCCGGGACATTCTCTCAGAAGTCTCGGGAGGACAAGGGTNTTCTTGAAATATTATAATGTACTGAAAATGTATTAAAAATCTAAATGTACTTTTAATTTACTGGAAAGGGCAAAATGTACCAGAAAAGTACAAATGTACTAGGAACGGCAACACTGGTTTCAGGTCTTACTTATCAGTTCACAAGAATTTATCATTGGTAGTTGATTATTGTGATTTATTTCATTATTTATTTAAGTAAATCAACTCTCTTACTGTCTCTGGTAGGAGAGTTCATATATACTGTTTACGTAATTTGATTTTGATAAATCGTATTGTTCGAAGTGAAAAAAAAACAAAATATTATACATCTAAAAATACTGTGGCATAAATGAACAAAGTGCATTGATTTTATCATATAATTTAATAATTATTATGAGTGACTTTACTTACGTATTATCAATATTAGAAGTTGCTTCATCCATTACAAGAATTTTATTTTGACGAAGAATTGCTCTGGCTAAACAGATTAATTGCCTTTGTCCAATGCTAAAATTTCGTCCTCCTTCTGATAGATGTGCATCCAATCCTCCAGGCAATTTTCTTATTACATCTTTTAATTCCACCTTTGATTAGAATACTTCGTTCAGTGAAAACATTGAAATAAAGATTGTTTAACAAACGAATTTAAACATTTAATTATCCTAACCTCTTCAATGGCTTGCCACAATATGTCTTCGGAATACTCATTAAAAGGATCGATGTTTCTGCGAAGAGGACCAGTAAATAGTATTGGATCCTGAAAACAAATGGCGTATTTAAAAATCTCTATTTATGGATTCATGGTATAAAATTTAATCCATGATTTCAAATAAACCCTGAACAGATCGCAATTTTTTAAATTTATTACTTTAGTCATCATTCTGCAAAATGATTGTGATTATAGTGATATAACTAAATGTAGGCCTATGTATTCGGAATACAGGGTGTTAATGTAAAAGGATGTTCACTTTTTCACGAACAACACTATCATGCCTGATGTTTTAATATGATTACATAAAAACAATTTTTTAATGTATATATTGTAGCTGTTCAATATTGTGACACTCCATAATCAAATACACTACGAAAATATCGAGTAATCCAGAATTCTCAAATAACAATGCAGCATGCCAGTATTTTGCGAATCAGTATTAGTTCTGGGACGTATCAATAATAAATTAATTATCTTAGTCAATAATGCATTCATAATCCTTTTTTATGCTTTTTATTTTAAATACAGTATTGTCCTTTCCTGTGCATCTCCAGACTGATAAAAGAAACCCAGGAAAAACTGGGAATCGTAATGTAGCATGAGCCGATAGAAATCATACAGCACTAACAGCAACTTTCAGAAAGTACCGTGTTTCCCCGAAAATAAGACCTAGCACAGGTTTTGCTAAATTGCGAAATATAAGACCTCCCCCTGATAGTAAGACCTAGCAAATTTTTTTTTACTCGTAACGGTCATCGAGAGATGGTTGAAAGTGGCCGTTGGCTTTTTGAAAGTACAGCCACTGATTGGACAGCAGATAATCACGCCACACGGCATGATTTGCATAAGACTATGGCTTGGGAATCACAGATTTGCATAACGTTACGGCTGGTGATCGTTAATTGGTCGGCCGGGAATCAGGTTCCATCACATTTGCATAGTGCTACGGTTCAGTAAGCACTAATTGGTCACCGAGCCCGATGTCGACGCTATGAAAAGGTTAAGTTGAAGCGAGAGTGAGAAGTTCACTCCAGCACGGGAACTTCGTTAGTTCAGTTCGACACGAGCGGATATAATTCACTCTCGTTTAAGTTAGACTTGGGAATTTTTTTGTTCAACAATAAATGTGAATTCTTCTTCATGGAAAAATAAGACATCCCCGGAAAATAAGACTTAGCGCATCTTTGAGGGCAAAAATTAATATAAGATACTGTCTTATTTTCGGGGAAACACGGTATATAGATGATAGTATCTTGAAACAATCTGAAATATCTGTTACTTGCATTTTCGATAATTTGGAACCACTCTAATTCTGTTAGTTCTAGAAAGAAATGCAACTATAAGTTGCTCTAGATAGTACAACACGTTTACAAAATCTTTTGATCTAATAAATACAGGGTGCCTCAAAAGTTTTCATACATACAAAGGTGAAATGTAACTTTATTTACAAAACATTAAAATGTCAGCATTAAAATTTGAGTTGGTGGATTGACAGAGTAAGGCAACGGAACTCGTGGGTAAGCTTCCAATGAGGTAACTTCTAGCAGGACTTCCAATGGGGAAACTTGATTCTGTTTACGTGGTAGACACGTGAAGAAAACTTAGAACAGTGCACGATGGCCAGCTATCAGTGTTCAATGGTTTTTTATTTATTTAGTCACTGGTGGGCTTGATTTGTGCCACTATATGGAAACTCTTGAAACACCCTGTATATTTGGTCATTCAAAAAATTGTGTTGTAATTTCAAAATTCAAAATAGTTTCACTGTTACCATTATTACTGGCTTTTGAGAATTGGTAATTATTAAAGTAATTCAATCAATTTTAGGTTTATAACTATTTACTTGAGGAATAATCGATATTTTACTACGTAGATCTCTCAGACCGATGTCTTGAGTAACAACTCCGTCAATGATAATGTTTCCGTTAGGTTCTGTCATACGAAATAACGCAGAAATGATAGAACTCTTTCCAGCTCCTGTTCTTCCAACAATTCCTATCTAAAATCAAGATTAAAAAATATAAGAAAAATCTTAATTTGGAAAATTTCAGATATTTTACCTTTTCTCCCGACTTGATACGAAATGATAAATTATTTAGTACAGTATTTTTGCAATTTGAATATTGTAAAGAAACATTCTTAAATTCAATATTTCCTTTCTGAGGCCAATCAGCAGGAGGTTGTATTTCGGGAGAACTTTCGTACGCTGCTTCCGGTTTTAAGTTACTATAATTCAGTATACGGGTAACAGAATTCGTCTAAAATTAAATACCAATACACAAAATTTATCGAAATATTAATATACATTATGTATTGTTGAATATAATATACAAACATACCATATAGTCAATTTCAGACGAATGCTTAATACTCCATTGAAAAAGTAAGAATACCATTAATCCGTAATTGACAACAAGACCAATTTTACTTCCTGCATCATCTATTATGTCACGAAAAAATTAAGTGTTGAGTTACATACAGAATAGAGAAAATTCAAAATATATCCACTTACCTTCATTCATCGAAACAGTCAAAACGACAAAAGAAATAAAAAGATTTAGAAGACAGAAGAAATGACTGTATGCGCAATTCCATCGATTTAAAGCCACGTAAATAAACCATGTTGCTGTGTGTTTATCTTGATATTTATTGAATGTTGACTTGAATTTATTTTCTGCATTAAGTGCTCTGATTGTTGTCAGTCCATATAGAGACACACTCAGATGAGAAAATACGGGACTTCTGCCTGCGAAAAAACTTTTTGTATAATTTATAATAATATAATTAAATGAAAGAAATCATCAACCCGTGTCGGGGCTCATTGCCTTTCATAAAAACAAGGAGCCTAGATGCATTTCAAAATATTATAACATGAAAAAGGTCATTTTATCATATGATTACTTTATGTAATTTTTTTTCTATTATAAAATATTATAATAGAAAATTATAATGGACTTGCATAGCGATATTAAATTAAAATATTTTACGATTTTTTTACATTTAAAATCATATAGACACTTCGATACATTTTGTGTTACATTAAAACTAAAAATAGCTATTTATTACTCTACAATCTATTAACATTATCGTAGCAGTAAACAACTACATAACGTAATAAACCTGAAAATGAACCTTTTCCATGTTATATAACATTAAAATATGTCTGTTGAATAAGTGACCCAACATATAATAATGTATTTTGTCTTTTAGTAGAAAAGATCATTAAAAATAATTTCTTAACCATAACAATATGTCCATCATATATTTAAAAGAAATAAATTGCTGTACATAAGAAATACATACATTTTCCTTCCAAATATTTTATGCTTTTCAATACTCGTGTATGGGTGGTCCATAAAAAATGAAATGAGTATAAAAAGAGAAATATTACTATGAGTAAATAAGGACAGATTATTGCTTCAATCACAAACATACCGATAATGACAAAATATACCTGAAATAAGAGAACTCATTTTAAATACAAGCTACATTTTTAATCTATTATTGTAATGAATATGTAAAAATCTATTTTCAAGAGAACTTAAATTAATTCAAGATAATAGAGTTATTGCTTATTGCATTTGAAAATAAATAAATAAATAAATTGGTATAATATTTCAGACTAGTAATTACATAAAGCGTTATTTTCATTACTAGTCCATATATTAGGACTATCAATTAGAGGGGCAAGCTATTCCTTTAGTTTTTACTGGTTATGTTATCCAGATATCTGCTTACTAAATAGACAGAGCATTTTACTTCGTAGAATTATAACTCTTCGTCCCCACAGACCGAAATAACTGGCCATTTTTATTACTTACATTTACTAAATGTATGAGAAATAAATAATTTTAATGTGGATAATATATTAGCATATAGAATAAGGATACAATAAAGCTAGTTAAGTTTCATCCTGACAATGTATACTTATACATGTGTCTTTCCTTATAACCATAATTGACAATCCCCACTTTTGCAGGAAGAAAATTATAAGTCTAAGTCTGTTTCTCTCCTGTTTTATTACATCAAATTGACTACGTGTCTCTGACGCTTCTCCATATTGAAAGTCAGTGCGAAAAAACATATATTTGAAATAGTTACATAAAAGTTGAAAATTTTCGATAGGATGAGAGGGAGGAGTTCAGCACAATTGCTGATATGTTGACAAAAGGAAATGACATGTATTTTAAATAGGTACAGGCCCGGACATGCTGTTACAGCAGAGGCAATTCAAGAGGTAAGTAACGAGGTGGGGATGAGGGATGTAAATCTGGTCCTTTTTTTGGGACTCGGATATCTTTTTCGTAGTTCATTGGAAAATTACCGAACTCTGGAAAACCATCAAGCAACTGTGTGTATTTATATTCCAAAAAACAACACCCAAAAGTGTTACAATACTTTTTTGTTATTAAGCGTTAAATGGCAAAAGTGGACACTCGTTTTTTGAATAAATCTTTTCTCTGAGTCAATAATATTTTCCAAAAAGTAATTTATGCCTATGCCAGGATTTCACTAAGCGTTTTCTTTAACGAAATCATCAAAATTTAACGTGGAATTTTTTTAAAAACCAGACACAAAAGTGAAGAAGTTGTGGAAGAAGCATGGGCGTAGTCCATGTTATTATCGTTGCTGAATTATCTTTATGAACAAAAATTATTTCCGTGAAGAAGAAACTGAATTATAAAAATATCAAACACGATTCAATAAGAATAATATTAATTACATNACTTAATTAAACTTATATATAATAAAATCTATTAATTAAAAAAATTAAAAAACTATCGGAGATCGTTTTTGACATCAGAAACTAGCTTTAAATAACTTTACCGAAGGAAAATCAGTGCACCACAACTTTAGAACGATGAATGAAATTTGATATCAAACTCCCATTAAAAAACTATTAAAAAGCAATTAAGCGTGAAGCGTGCGTCATTAAAGGTAAATTAAAATCGCGATAAAATTTTAATTAATTAAAAAATTTTGTTAACAATCAAAGTCAACTCTTACTACATTATTATTAATTTCGACATCTTGAAGCACGTCAACTTGTTTAATGTTAGGTATTTTTTTGTCGTTGAAACATACGGTCGACAATTCCATGCTACTTTTAACAATTTCATTTTCTCGTGAATCTTCTGCATAGCATTCACAACATTTCATTTCATTACGATTGCCAAAGAATTCACATTTTCCCTAAAATAAAACAACAGAAATTTGTATTAACAATATTTGAATTAATATATTTATTTAAACGATAAATTAATACATGTTACACAAGAGAAATATTTTTCGTTATCTTTATACAGTACATATTTGTAATACAATTATAGTGGCTTACATTTCGTGAAATATTTTTCTATAGAATGAATAGAAGTAGAATTTAATAAGAATTTGCTAATTGAAATACAGTCGAAATCCATAAAATAACGGCCATTGACAAAAAGCATGGAAATAATCGTTCTATATAACGATTGTTTTTTTTTTATGAAATTTTGTTCTTTATGAACTAACGATCATAGAAAATAACCTGCAAATAATTAATGAAAATGGTGACAGGTTTCGTGCACTAATTTACAAATCAAAAATAGCGATCTGTTCTCAGGTTCGACTGTATTATTGAATATTATGACTAACATAGAAGATTATCAAGCAAAGTTGTATATGATATATTAATTTTCTCACCTTATTTAACACTAAAATTTTAGTTGTAGAATTTAGAAATTGTATTTGATGTGTAACGAGAATGCAAACTTTTTCTTTTAAATATTCTTTTATACATCTGAAAAATAATAAATTTTTAAATACATTAAAATATACGTATTGACTAACGTTTAAATCCACTATTTACTTTACGAATAAGTGTTTCGCTACTGGAGCATCAACAGCACTTAACGGATCATCAAGGAGGAATATATCTGCATCTACGTATAATGCTCTGAAAATATATATTTAAATATATTTACAACATAATCAATGGGTAAGTATTACACCGAGAAGCAATATCTACGATTGTGTTGATCTTATTTTTCTTAAAATAAGAAGTTTCTGACCTTGCAAGATTAATTCTTGCTTTCTGACCACCGCTCATCATCACTCCTCTTTCACCTACAACTGTCAAATCTTCTTCTGGAAATAAACTTATATCCTAAAATAAGTAAAACCTATATTAGTATTTCTCATAATATATATATAGATATAAAACTTGATATACAGAACGTACACAAGTATAAATATTATATAATATTTAAATATATGATTATAGAGTAACCTGATCTCGTAACACGTATCCATCTTAAGGAGATCACACATATGCTACGTTTCCTTATTTCCATTANAAAATAAGACATCCCCGGAAAATAAGACTTAGCGCATCTTTGAGGGCAAAAATTAATATAAGATACTGTCTTATTTTCGGGGAAACACGGTATATAGATGATAGTATCTTGAAACAATCTGAAATATCTGTTACTTGCATTTTCGATAATTTGGAACCACTCTAATTCTGTTAGTTCTAGAAAGAAATGCAACTATAAGTTGCTCTAGATAGTACAACACGTTTACAAAATCTTTTGATCTAATAAATACAGGGTGCCTCAAAAGTTTTCATACATACAAAGGTGAAATGTAACTTTATTTACAAAACATTAAAATGTCAGCATTAAAATTTGAGTTGGTGGATTGACAGAGTAAGGCAACGGAACTCGTGGGTAAGCTTCCAATGAGGTAACTTCTAGCAGGACTTCCAATGGGGAAACTTGATTCTGTTTACGTGGTAGACACGTGAAGAAAACTTAGAACAGTGCACGATGGCCAGCTATCAGTGTTCAATGGTTTTTTATTTATTTAGTCACTGGTGGGCTTGATTTGTGCCACTATATGGAAACTCTTGAAACACCCTGTATATTTGGTCATTCAAAAAATTGTGTTGTAATTTCAAAATTCAAAATAGTTTCACTGTTACCATTATTACTGGCTTTTGAGAATTGGTAATTATTAAAGTAATTCAATCAATTTTAGGTTTATAACTATTTACTTGAGGAATAATCGATATTTTACTACGTAGATCTCTCAGACCGATGTCTTGAGTAACAACTCCGTCAATGATAATGTTTCCGTTAGGTTCTGTCATACGAAATAACGCAGAAATGATAGAACTCTTTCCAGCTCCTGTTCTTCCAACAATTCCTATCTAAAATCAAGATTAAAAAATATAAGAAAAATCTTAATTTGGAAAATTTCAGATATTTTACCTTTTCTCCCGACTTGATACGAAATGATAAATTATTTAGTACAGTATTTTTGCAATTGGAATATTGTAAAGAAACATTCTTAAATTCAATATTTCCTTTCTGAGGCCAATCAGCAGGAGGTTGTATTTCGGGAGAACTTTCGTACGCTGCTTCCGGTTTTAAGTTACTATAATTCAGTATACGGGTAACAGAATTCGTCTAAAATTAAATACCAATACACAAAATTTATCGAAATATTAATATACATTATGTATTGTTGAATATAATATACAAACATACCATATAGTCAATTTCAGACGAATGCTTAATACTCCATTGAAAAAGTAAGAATACCATTAATCCGTAATTGACAACAAGACCAATTTTACTTCCTGCATCATCTATTATGTCACGAAAAAATTAAGTGTTGAGTTACATACAGAATAGAGAAAATTCAAAATATATCCACTTACCTTCATTCATCGAAACAGTCAAAACGACAAAAGAAATAAAAAGATTTAGAAGACAGAAGAAATGACTGTATGCGCAATTCCATCGATTTAAAGCCACGTAAATAAACCATGTTGCTGTGTGTTTATCTTGATATTTATTGAATGTTGACTTGAATTTATTTTCTGCATTAAGTGCTCTGATTGTTGTCAGTCCATATAGAGACACACTCAGATGAGAAAATACGGGACTTCTGCCTGCGAAAAAACTTTTTGTATAATTTATAATAATATAATTAAATGAAAGAAATCATCAACCCGTGTCGGGGCTCATTGCCTTTCATAAAAGCAAGGAGCCTAGATGCATTTCAAAATATTATAACATGAAAAAGGTCATTTTATCATATGATTACTTTATGTAATTTTTTTTCTATTATAAAATATTATAATAGAAAATTATAATGGACTTGCATAGCGATATTAAATTAAAATATTTTACGATTTTTTTACATTTAAAATCATATAGACACTTCGATACATTTTGTGTTACATTAAAACTAAAAATAGCTATTTATTACTCTACAATCTATTAACATTATCGTAGCAGTAAACAACTACATAACGTAATAAACCTGAAAATGAACCTTTTCCATGTTATATAACATTAAAATATGTCTGTTGAATAAGTGACCCAACATATAATAATGTATTTTGTCTTTTAGTAGAAAAGATCATTAAAAATAATTTCTTAACCATAACAATATGTCCATCATATATTTAAAAGAAATAAATTGCTGTACATAAGAAATACATACATTTTCCTTCCAAATATTTTATGCTTTTCAATACTCGTGTATGGGTGGTCCATAAAAAATGAAATGAGTATAAAAAGAGAAATATTACTATGAGTAAATAAGGACAGATTATTGCTTCAATCACAAACATACCGATAATGACAAAATATACCTGAAATAAGAGAACTCATTTTAAATACAAGCTACATTTTTAATCTATTATTGTAATGAATATGTAAAAATCTATTTTCAAGAGAACTTAAATTAATTCAAGATAATAGAGTTATTGCTTATTGCATTTGAAAATAAATAAATAAATAAATTGGTATAATATTTCAGACTAGTAATTACATAACGCGTTATTTTCATTACTAGTCCATATATTAGGACTATCAATTAGAGGGGCAAGCTATTCCTTTAGTTTTTACTGGTTATGTTATCCAGATATCTGCTTACTAAATAGACAGAGCATTTTACTTCGTAGAATTATAACTCTTCGTCCCCACAGACCGAAATAACTGGCCATTTTTATTACTTACATTTACTAAATGTATGAGAAATAAATAATTTTAATGTGGATAATATATTAGCATATAGAATAAGGATACAATAAAGCTAGTTAAGTTTCATCCTGACAATGTATACTTATACATGTGTCTTTCCTTATAACCATAATTGACAATCCCCACTTTTGCAGGAAGAAAATTATAAGTCTAAGTCTGTTTCTCTCCTGTTTTATTACATCAAATTGACTACGTGTCTCTGACGCTTCTCCATATTGAAAGTCAGTGCGAAAAAACATATATTTGAAATAGTTACATAAAAGTTGAAAATTTTCGATAGGATGAGAGGGAGGAGTTCAGCACAATTGCTGATATGTTGACAAAAGGAAATGACATGTATTTTAAATAGGTACAGGCCCGGACATGCTGTTACAGCAGAGGCAATTCAAGAGGTAAGTAACGAGGTGGGGATGAGGGATGTAAATCTGGTCCTTTTTTTGGGACTCGGATATCTTTTTCGTAGTTCATTGGAAAATTACCGAACTCTGGAAAACCATCAAGCAACTGTGTGTATTTATATTCCAAAAAACAACACCCAAAAGTGTTACAATACTTTTTTGTTATTAAGCGTTAAATGGCAAAAGTGGACACTCGTTTTTTGAATAAATCTTTTCTCTGAGTCAATAATATTTTCCAAAAAGTAATTTATGCCTATGCCAGGATTTCACTAAGCGTTTTCTTTAACGAAATCATCAAAATTTAACGTGGAATTTTTTTAAAAACCAGACACAAAAGTGAAGAAGTTGTGGAAGAAGCATGGGCGTAGTCCATGTTATTATCGTTGCTGAATTATCTTTATGAACAAAAATTATTTCCGTGAAGAAGAAACTGAATTATAAAAATATCAAACACGATTCAATAAGAATAATATTAATTACATTATATTTTATATATATACTAGCTGTTACCCGCGACTTCGTCAGCGGAGGTTTTGCAAGCAAACCCCATTTACATCCAATATTTCAATAACCATAGTAATTGTTATATAACACCTACCGCTGAAGAGAATTGCCGAAAATCAAACGAACTATTTTCAATTTGATCAATTTTCTGAAACGTTTACAATCGTTCTATAATCGAACCAATACGCAATAACAAATTCGAATTTAAAAC